TGCGGCCCACGGGGAGCAATGGGGGGGTCCGTCCGGTGTCCTGCTGTCTGTCCCCGGCTGGGCACCTTCCTCACCCATACGCGGAGCTCGCCCAGTATGGGTTTTCTGGTGGGTTGGGAGGGTGGTGGGATGGGGCTGCTCATGCCCCTGCAGCACCGCATCCCCACGGGGCTCAGCACCCTTGGCCCCCACCTCACCTCTCAGCCCTACAGCCCCAGGCGCCAGCCTCTCTGCCTCAGTTTCCCCATCAGGAAATCAGGGATAATGATGGAGCTATAAGGCCTGGCTGGACAACGGTTGTATTTTGGTTATTTGCTTAATCATAGAATGTTTTGGGTGGGAAGGGACCCCTAGAGGTCACCCAGCCCAACCCCCCTGCAGGAGCAGGGACACCTTGAACCACATCAGGTTGCTCACAGCCCCGTCCAACCTGGCCTGGAATGTTCCCAGGGATGGGGCCTCCACCCCCTCTCTGGGCAACCTGTTCCAGTGTTTTACCACCCTCATTCTAAAAAATTTCTTCCTTATTTTGTTGTATTTTGGTTATTTGGTCTTTACAGGTTTGACATGGGACAAGGGGCAGGGTATCAACAGAGAGGTGCTGGTGGCTGCGTGGCCCCCAGTCCACTGGATCCCAGTCTGGGGACAATACTGGGTGCCCCAACATGCCAGTCCACTGCATCCCAGTCTGGGGATGTTAATGGGCTCCCTAACCCATGGCCTGTTCGATCCCAGTTCAGGAACCATCCTGTGCACCCTGACCCACCAGTTTCTGGGATCCCAGTCTGGGGACCAAACTGGGTGCTCCAACATACCAGTCTGCTGGCTCCCAGTTCAGGGACACTACTGGACACCCTGACCCCCATGAGTCTGCACTCATCAGGTGATGCTCTGACCCACTGCCAGTGCCAAACCTCCTGTGTTCCTGCCCCGCCATGGCCTCCCTTGCTCCATGACCCCATGGCCTGGACACGGCTCCTTCCCCTTCCCAGCCCCAAATTGCAGCCAGAGGAAGGGTTCACCTGGCAGGACCCCCACCAGCCTGGGCTCTCCCACCCGGCGCCCCCCCATGCCAGGGGCACCCTGGGCACGCATGAGGCTGCTCCTCCATCCCATGGTGGCACCGGCCGGGCTGTCCCCACGTGTGTCACAGAGGGACCAGGGACGGGGG